CTTTCTATCCTTGATTTTGCACAAGATTTTCTATACTTGCTTATTCTTTCTATATAATTTTCTGCCCTTTATGCTGCTTACTTTCTGCTTGCTTAATGGCTGCCAAACATCGAATAAGGCAGAATACATAGTCAACTAGAGCTCACTTAATATCAAAGTGAAAATTTCAGCTAGGCATGGTGGTACATGCCTATAATCCTAACACTCTTCTTGGCTGAGACAGAAGGGTCACAGATTCAATCCCAGCCTGAGCAATAAGGTGTGGTTTCGATTTTAATGATGATGCTGAGTTGGCATGGGGATTATTTGGCAATTCTTAGACTAATTTCTTTGTAAGGAACTTTCACCTCTTCCACAGCCCTGACTTGGTTGGGTGCTATAATGTGAGTAAAACCAATCAATCAGTCTTTATGAGCAAAGACTTAATCTAAGCTATGGACACATAATCCCATTTTCTTCAAATTTGTGGCCTGAGCTACTGACCTTATGTGGTCCCCCCTGACACCCTGAGCTCTCGGCCTGTGCCGTGGCCCCCGGGGCATCTGGGGTTCCTTCCTGTGTCGGAATCTCTCCTGTCTGTTGCAACAGACACAGCGGCTGGTCACTCTGTGGTCCTTCTGGACAAGTTAACCAGGAGCGTAGTTTTCTTTAAGCACTTCCCCTTTGTCTTGCACCCGATCCTCCGTCTACATATGCCTGATTTCCAGGAGGGCTGGGAAATGTGGCCCATCCAGTTCTGTGCCCGCAGGTAGTAGACATTTTCCTCATAGAAAAAAAGGGAGGAAGCATCGAGAAGATGCTATCTTCCATAACGCTATCACCAAAATTTAGCCACTATTAGTAGATAGCTATGGATACGGCAGTACAAGTGGTTGTGGATTTGTATATTAGACACATTATTATTTTACAATGCAGAATCATGTTTCCTTGTGAACTTTTTTCACTTAATATATTCTAATATTCTCCCAACATTGGTGACAGTTCTTCAGTTTTTCAAATAACTGGGAACTAATATAACATAGGCTCAGAGCCAACAGTTCTTCAGCATGTCCTCAAGGGCTATCAGGTATTTTGTCAAATGGTGAAATTCAAAACCCACTAAACTGTCAGTAGCCTGGGAAATAGGGTAATTTGGAATATATTCTTCTTCAAGCTAAAGACAGTTTCTTTTTGCCAATGGTTAAAATACTGGTCCAATAGTATATGTATAATTTATATTATATTATATATGTTTAACTTATGGGTCAGACTTACTTTTGGAAAATTGAGATAATGTATACAAATTGAGTTTTCTGGCATTGTTCCTATTTTCTATGATTTCTCTTTAAAATGTCTCCATGTTTTGGCAGTCCCTTCTATATGCTGCCTTCGTACACTGGGTTATCATTTGTCTGAGACGTGCCACCGGTGAGAATCCTCCCTGCAGCCCCGATCCCTTCAGCCCCATTGTGTCGCCTCTGTCTGCCTCTATGGATGGCCTGTGCCGGCCTCTGAGCTGGTGGGTGCTGTGTGAACCTGTGGGCAGGGACGCCCAGCAGGGTGGACATCCTGCCCTTGACAGCCAGCAGGCCATTCTCGAGGTCCTGAGATGACTTTTGGGAAAAGGCACTTCAGAACTCATCGGTGTGCAGACCATCGCTGTGTCAGTTTCTAAGTACCAAAAGCAAGCCACAGGCAGGGGCAGTTTTGGTTTTTCGAGCACAGGAATTCTTCACTGTTGCTCTTGCTTATAAGAAATCACTTTGTTCACAAAAATATGAGACAGAAACGGCTTCACAGCCATTTGTTGATGTATAAATTCCATAAGTTACTGGTCTGACATTCTCAGAAATAACATTCCTGGACTCATGTAACAGCCTTCTAAAGTGAATTTGCTGAAAAGATTCTCCCCATAACTTTCTTGCTGAAAGGGAAGTAGGCAAAGTATTTAAAAATATTTTCTCTCTAGCTATTTTCATCACTGCTCAGATATTTATACCATCAAGATTGGCTAATTGCCGCATTAGAAAACAAAGCTTTCCTTTATTCAGGGTGGGAAGGATGGTTGCCCCAAACCTTTATCAGGGGTAACTTTAAGGTTTTTCAATATTTATCCAATGGACACCTCTCTATATAATTTGGCCTTAATAATGAGTCCTAAGCTGTACATTGTGGTGCATACCTGTAATCCCAGCACTCTAAAGGCTTAGGCAGGAGGAGTGCTGTGACTTCAGGGTCAGCCTTGGCTACATAGTGAACCCATCTCAAAAAAATATTACAAAAAAAGAGTCCTAAAATCTGTTAGATTACTTAATAAACTCATAGCATTTTTTGTTCTTTCTTTCTTTCTTTCTTTCTTTCTTTCTTTCTTTCTTTCTTTCTTTCTTTCTCTCTCTTTTCTTTCTTTTTTTTCTTCCTTCCTTCCTTCCTTCCTTCCTTCCTTCCTTCCTTCCTTCCTTCCTTCTTTCTTTGTGTGTGTGGTACTGGGAACTGAACTGAGAGCCTTTGCCCTGAGCTACATGCACAGCTCATTCTTTTTTTCTGTTAAGACAGGGTTTCACTAAGTTGCTAAATTGCCAAGGCTATGCTTGAACTTGCAATCCTCCTGCCTCAGCCTCCCGAGTATCTGTAGCTATGTGCTACCACCTGTGGCTCCAGGTGATTCTTTCAGTATTATAATTCTTATGTATATAAATTTGAGAATGAATGTATTAGTCCATTTTCTATTGCTATAACAAAATGCTAGAAACTAGATCCTGTATAAAGAAAAGATGTTTATTTAGCTTTCAGTGCTATAAGTTGAAAGGCACATAGCACCTGCTTCTGGCTGGCTTTGGTCAAGTTCTTGTGGTGAGGGGTGGGGCATCATAACGGTGGGGGCATGTGGCAGTAAACATCACATGGTTGGACTGGAAACCAAAAATCAGGGTGGACTGATCCTACTTTTTGTAACAATGTACTTTTCTCCCTCATGCTCTCTTTCTCTCTCTCTTTTAGTTTTTACTAGTGGATGTGTGCAGTACATAATAGTTACATTCCTCGTGGGAAGTTGGTCCACATACACAACACATCTTAGCTCTTTTCTTGTCTTCATCCCCTCCTTTCCCTCTCCCCCTCTGTTCCTCTCTTGGTCCCCCTCCCATTTCTGAAAGATGTCTTCTTATTTCCTCTGATCTATTATTTTGTTCTTTATTTATATTTTGGGTTTCTCATATAAGAGAAACCATGCAACATTTAAGGTTGTGTGTCTGATTTATTTTATCTGAAATTATGGTCTCCAGGAGAATCCGTTTTCCTACCGGTGACAGGTTTATCCTTTATGGCAGAGTAGTACTCCACAATTTCTTTATCCCTTCGTTTGTTTATATAGGCTGCTTCCCAGATTTAGTTATTGGGAGTTGTGCTGGTATAAACATTGGTGTGCATGTGTTGCTGCAATGTGCTGTCTCTAACTCTTTCAGGAAGATAACTAGAAGGGGAATTTCTAGGTGGAATGGAGTTTCTAGGAATGCACTTTTCTGAGAACTAACAATCACTTGGTGAGACCAGCATTAATTCCCTCCAAGGGTGATGTCCCAGTGACTTAACCACCTTCCCCTAGACCCACCTCTGAAAGGTTCTACCACCTCAGCATCACCATGCTGAGGACAACCCTTCTAGCACATGAAACTTTGAGCTACAAACTACATCCAAACTACAGCAATCAGTTTAAGTTTCACAAAATTTAAAACCATTACCACCCTTAGAATTTTGATTAAAATCTATCATGCCTTTCTGTAGGCCAGATATACAGCAGATCATAAAACTCGGGCAACCCAGAGCTTCAGACCTGTGCCAGTTTCCACACTAAGGATCTGAGGACACATAGGGAGGTCACTCACTTTGGAACTGATAAAAATCAAAGCCTGTCTGTCCGATTCCTCATCAGACTTGTCCATGTCCCCTTATATATCACTGGTTCGGTGTTAGATAATACTACAGTACCAGCGAGGGTTTTACCTGAGGCCATGGTGGTCCTTAAAATTTTGCAAGGAGCCAGGCGTGGTGGCGCACGCCTGTAATCTCAGCACTCGGGAGGTTGAGGCAGGAGGATTGTTGCGAGTTCAAGACCAGCCTGGGCTACAAAGTGAGCTCAAGGTCAGCCTGAGCTGCAGAGTGAGACCCTGTCTCAAAAAAAGACCAAAAAAAAAAAAAAAAAAAAAGATTTTGCAAGGAGAAAAAAATTTAATTGTTCCCTGTAATACCCTAACACTGAACTGGACACAGGGGAAGGCAGCATGCGATCCTTGAATCTCCCATGTCAGTTGACTTCCTTTTCTTACTGTTAAATCAGCAAAGCAGATGATTTATCACATATTTTACAAACACTAAACCGCAGAAACCCTGGAAAGAATCAGATTCTTGTGGCTAGATTATCTTGAAGGTATTACTGGTTAATCCAGGAACAGTGAAGAAGGTCTGTGAATACTGAACACCAAACTGTAACGACTGCCAGACTGTGACCAAGTGAATTACTCCTGTTTATGTGGCTGCTAAAGTCAAGTGTATGGAGAGTGACTGCGGTTTCATGTCTATTCCTCAGAGAAAGCCTGGGTGTGTAGAAGCCAAGAAAGGAGTTTCACAGCCAGAAAATGTTGGAGGTGCTGCCTGGGGAGGGCCTGAGATGATCCTTGCCCCTGCAGGGGCTGTGTTTGCGCCAGAGAATAAAGCTTCTGGGCCTAGAGAATGGAGTGTCGGACACAGCCCTGTGTAGCTGGGAGCCCGAAGGACCATGACTCCATTGCTTCACCTTTTCAGGCCTCAGTTTCCCCATCTATGGCCATAGCAGTAACTCCATGGGGTACTCAGAGAATTAAAGTGAGGATTAGATGCACTATATCATTGTTTGCCAAATAGAAATAAGTCAACTGATGGACAATGAGTTTAACCTCAAGCATAAATTTTTCTTTTAAGAGCACTTTGTTCCCACTATAAAAGTACATCATAGTTTTGCTAATGTCTGACATTTGTTTGTGTTTTAGACACTTTCCTGAGCCCTGGATCTTTCTTCCTTCTGGACATATTCTACGGCGGGTATTTATTTATTTTTGAACAAAAACGCCTGCGCGCCATGGACCTCATTGCATTGCTGAAGTCTCAGTTCCTGTGCCACCTGATCTTCTTCTACGTCTTCATCACCTCGGGGCTGATTGTGAACATCATCCAGCTCTTCACGCTGGTGCTCTGGCCCATTAACAAGCAGCTGTTCCGGAAGATCAACTGCAGACTGTCTTATTGCATCTCCAGCCGTAAGACCCCTGCCCACCTTCTGCATGTTCCTCTTCGCTGCTGCCATGCGGCACTCTTGTGCACCCGTTCACTAGGCTTCCATTCTGTGCTAAGCTGCTTTTTGTTTTGTTGTTGTTTGCTTTATGTTTAAAATGTCTAATTTGTCACCACTCTTCAAAAGTTATTTTTGAATGAAAAATGATAGCTCAAAATTGAGAATACACAAAGGATAGTGAAAAGTAAATATGGAGTCTATTACTGCTTCTCTAGTTTTCCTCAGAAATAATTAATGATTTCTTAGTTATCCTTATAGAAATGTGTGTCTGTGGCTTTTGTGTGTACACATGTGTGCATATGAATCTGTGCATTTGTATAAAGACATAATACATATGCATTGTTTGGGAATGCTAGAGACCAAATACACGTCTAATTTAAAAACTAAATGGCAATATACTGTATTGTTTCCTTGCTTGCTTTTTTTCAGTTTTTTCTTTTGAGGTAACTGTACATTCACATGCAAGTTCAAGAAATAATACAGGGAAATCACGAATAATTTTCATCCAGTTTCACCCCAATGGCAACGTCTTGTATGACTGGAGTACAATATTCCAAACAGAAAAGTGACATTAATACAGCCCACCACCCCTACTCGATTTCTCTTTTATATACACTGGCGTGTGTGTGTGCGTGTGTAAGCTAAGCTGTTTTAAGCATGACTAATTTGACTGCACTGAGTTTCAACAACAGAAAAAGATGAATTGGTATATTGGGATATCTAGAGATGTGTTTTGTTATTGCTGTTGATTGACCTTAAAACTTATACCTATTCTTGAAAGTAGAAAGTACACTGTATCATTAGCCACTGTATATGTGGATCCAAGTATATTTCAAAATCTGAGCTCTTCAGCAGCAAAGCGCCTGCCTGGCAAGTGCAAGGTCGTGAGTTCGGTTCCCGGTACCGGAGAAAAACCAAAAAAAAAAAAAAAAATCTGAGCTCTTTTAAATTAAGCAATTTAAAATTATGTTACCTTAGATTATACCAAGAATCTAAAGTTATTGATATCTTTCTGAAAACCTTTAAAAAGAAGCAATCAAATTTGAATTTTAATCAAAACAATACTTTGTACAATTATGCAAATGGGTTATTGCTGATTCAATTAGTTCTATTTTTAATTGATACGTAATTATACATAGTATAGGTCTCAGCATGACACATCAATACATATATACATATTGAAGTAATGATCAGATCAGAGTAATTGGCACATCTGTCATCTCAAACATTACTCCTTTGTGTTGTGAACATTCAAAATCCTCTCTCTAAGCTCTTTTGAAATAGACAGCTAATTATTGTCAGAGTTACCCTACTGTGCCATAGAATATTAGAAGTTATTCCACCCCTACAACTGTACTTCGGGACCATTCTTTCTACTACCCCTCTCCTTTCACCCTTCTCAGTTCTGGTAGCCACTCCTTGGCAATTTCCTTCTATGAGATCAACGTTTTAGCTTCTGCATGTAAGGGAAAATATGTGGTATTTGTGTTTCTGTGCCTAGCTTATTGCATTTAACATAATGTCCTCCAGTTCCATCGGTGTTGCTACAAATTACAATATCTTGTTATTTCTAGTGGCTGGATACTATGGATGTACATTTTTCATATATTCATCTATCAGAGGGCACCTGGGTTAATTCCATCCATATTTTAGCTATTATGTATAGTGCTGTCACAAACATGTAAGTCTCTTCAGCATACTGAGTTTGTTTCCTTTGGCTATATCCCCAGTAGGAGGATTGCTGGCTTATGTGGTAATTCTGTTTCTAGTTTTGAGGAGCCTACATACTGTTTTCTGTAATGGCTGTAGTAATTTATATTCCTACTGACACTATATTGACAGTTTCTCTTTCTCTGCCTCCTATCCTGCATTTATTTATTTATTATTTATTTGTCTTTTTACCAAGAACTGTTCTGAGGTCAGATGATATTGCATTATTTTAATTTTCATTTCCCTGATGATTTTTTTTTTTTTTTTTTTTTTTTTTTTTGTGGTACTGGGAATTGAACTCATGACCTTGCACTTGCCAGGCAGGCACTTATGCCACTGAGCTATATCCCCAGCCCACCCTGATGAATATTGATGTTGAAGATCTTTTGTGTATAGTGTTTAAATTTGTATATCTTTTTTCAAGAAATGCCTTTTCAGGTTGCTTGCCCAGTTTTAAATCAGATTTTATTCTTGTTATTATTACTTTTTTTCTGTTATTTGAGTTCCTCAATACCCTGTATAATAATTCCTTGTCAGATAAATAATTTGCAGAAATGTTTTCCATCCTGTAGGTTGTCTATGTAGTTTGTTGATTGTTTCAATCCCATGTATTGTTTCTGCTTTCATTAATTGTGCTTTTGGGGTCATAGAAAAAAAAAATTTGCCCAGATCAATATCCTAAAGCTTCTCCCTCATGTTTCATAGTTTCACATTTTACATTTAAATGTGTAATCCATTCTGAGTTGATTTTTGCATGTGATGAATGATAGGATTGCCGGGCGTGGTGGTGCACGCCTGTAATCCCAGCACTCAGGAGGCTGAGGCAGGAGGATCATTGCAAGTTCAAGACCAGCCTAGGCTACAAAGTGAGCTCAAGGCCAGCCTGAACTGCACAGTGAGACCCTGTCTCAAAAGGACAAAAAAAAAAAAAAAAAAGAATGATAGGATTCCAGTTTTATTCTTTTGCAGTGTACGTCCTCACTGCCTTTGTCTAAAAATCAGTTGGCTATAAATACATAGACTGGGTTCTCTATTATATTTCTTTGGTCTGTGTTTGCTCTTCAGCCAGTACTATGCTATTGTGGTTTCTATAGCATTGTCGTATGTTTTGAAATTAGATATTGCAATCCCTCTAGCTTTATTCCTTTGTTTAGTATTGCTTTAGCTATTGGGAGGCTTTTGTGAATCCATAAAAATTGTAGGAGGCTTTTTTTTTTCTATTTATATGAATTTTTAGTTGATAGAAATTGCATTGAATCTATGGATCACTTGGAGTAGTATAGACATTTTAACAATATTAAATTTTCAAGTTCATGAAAATGGGAAGTCTTCCTGTATGTGTGTGTCCTTTTCAATTTCTTTCATCAGTCTTTTAAAGCTTTCATTGCAAAGATCACTCACTTAGTTACATTTATGCCTAGGTGTTTTATTTTATTTGAAGCTATTGTGGATGGAATCACTTTCTTGATTTTTTTCAGTGATTTTGTTATTAATGCATAGAATGCCACTGATTTTTATATGTTGATCTTAGCTATAAGGTCCTGTAACCTTATTGTATTTGTTTATTAGTTCTAGCAGTTTTTTGGTAAAGTCTTTGGGTTTTTCTAAATATAAAATCATGTAATCTACACACAGATTATTTGACTCCCTCTCTTTCTGCTGAGATGCGCTCTGTGTATTTCTTTGCTCTCAGGGCTTTTGTTAAGATGCCCAGTACTATGTTGACAAGAGTGGTGAAAATGGACATGCCTGTCTTGCTCTTGACCTCAGAAGATACCATTTCATCATAACCCTTTGGTATGATACTGGATGTGGGCTGGTTATCTGTAGCCTTTATTGTGTTGAGATACATTCCTTCTTCACCTAACTTTTCAGAGTTTTTGAAAGATCTTCATGAAAGGATGTTGAATTTTATCAAATGCTTTTTTTCTGCATCTATTGAAGTGATCATACAGGGTTTTTTTTTTTTTCCTTTATTCTGTATATGTGATGTATTACATTTGTTGATTTGCATACATTGAATCATCTTTGCATACATGAGATAAATCCCACTTGATCATAGTGTAAAATCTGCATGTGCTGTTGGATTTAGTTTGCTAGTATTTTATTGAAAATTTTTGCATCCATGTGCATCAGGATTATAAGGT